CCCTCACACCCCCATGAGCCCAAATCTGCGAACTGAGAACCTCACTTCTCTGACTCACCTTCCATCTCCCTCAATCAGAGACGCCCACAAACCTCAGAGCTGCGTCTCAGCATCGCTTGTTTTGACTCCCCTCCTCTGCTGCCTTGACTTCCTTTCTGCCTGGGAACCTGTCTGTGTGGACTTTTCCCTCTATGTCTACCGGTGTCCTGCCACCAATGGCATTTGTCACCTCTGCCAGGGTAGCCCCTCATGACTCGGGGTATTGATGGCTTAATAACCCGAGTTATTGTGAACTGGAACTGGAACTGGAACTCCCTGTGAACTGGAACTGTCCTAAGGAAAGGGAGGGTCGTGCCTTGTTCCTGATGCTCCACGATTCCTTGCACAGTGTGGTCACCAGGTGCTGATGTGCCCTCCTTGGATGAATGAGTAATGTGGGTTCTAGGAAGCCTGCACTAACGCGGATGTGACGTCCTCAGCCTTTCATAGACTATGTTTCATGTGAGAGGTGGGAAGAACAGCTGAACAGAAGGCTGGGGACTGCCCAGGTCCAGAGGCACCAAGAGCTTGTTATCAGGTTTTCACTTGCTATTTGCAGAGATTTTTTTTAAAGGCGCTATTGGTAGTGTTAAAAGGGTGAATTCATCAGAAGGCATAATAATCATAAATGTGTATATGCCTAATGATAGAACTTTAAAATGCATGAAGCAACACTCAAAAGGATTAAAGGGAGATCATATCACCCCCTTCTTACCAATCGATAGAATGATCTGATGAAAACAGTAAAATAACAGATCTGAACACTGTCAACCATCTTGACAAATGTTTATGCCTAATGTTCCATTATTAGAATGCTAAACATGTGGAATTATTTATATCCTACTGCTCAAGGTCATCGCCAAGGTCTAATTGTAAAATTTCAAAAAATTGCAACCTCAGGCATTAACGGGTTAATTGACATTTATAGCGCATACATGCAACCTGTACCGCAGATTCCTTCTTTTCTATGAACATGGTACTTCCACCAAGATAGGCCACATTGTGAACTATAAAACAAATCTAAAAACATTTGAAATGAAGGAAATTATATAAAATATATTCTCTGATCTCAGTGAAATTAATAACTATATCTAGAAAGAATCCCAATATGTGAATATTAAGCAACTTACTTATAAACAACTCATAGTTCATGGATGAAATCAAAAGAGAATTCAAAATATTTCAAAATAAATGATGATGATTATATAACATGTGGAAATGTGTGGGACGCCACTACACCAGTGTTTAGAGTGAAATGCACAGCTTTCAAGGCTTCTGTTAAGAGTTGGGAATTTGGGGAAACAAGGAGTGACTGCTAATGGGTATGGAGTCTTTTTGGGGTGATGATGAAAATGTTCAAAAATTGATTTTATTGGTGGTTATACATGTCTATAAATATATTCAAATGGAAGAATTCTATGATTATATATGTGATATATAAAGTATATCTTAGTGAAGTTGTTAAGGATTAAAAGAAGAATGGTATCAAAATCAGTGACTCAGAGGTCTGCATTACTCACCCGTAAAATAAGTGTAAATTAAACTCGGAGGCAGTAGCAGGGAGGGAAAGAAATAATAGAGTAGAAATTAATGAAATAGAATACAAAGAATAAAAGGAATCAACAAGCCAAGAGTTGGGTCTCAGAAGTGATTAACACAATTAATAAAATTAATAAACCAAACCTCAAAAGAAAAAGAACAATGGCCTGAAACACCAACATCAAGAATTAATGATGGGATATTATTACAAACTCTACAGCTATTAAAAGGATAATAGTGGGATCTCATGAATAACCTTATGTGAAAAAAATTCTACAACTTAGATGAAATAGAGAAATTTCTTGAAAAACCTTACTTAGCAAAATAGTCACAAGAGGTATAGATCACTTAAATATTTCTACAGCTGTGTAAGAATTGGAATTTATTGGCTGGGCGCGGTGGCTCAAGCCTGTAATCCCAGCACTTTGGGAGGCCGAGACAGGCGGATCATGAGGTCAGGAGATAGAGACCATCCTGGCTAACATGGTGAAACCCCGTCTCTACTAAAAAATACAAAAAAAAAAACCTAGCCGGGCGAGGTGGCGGGCACCTGTAGTCCCAGCTGCTCGGGAGGCTGAGGCAGGAGAATGGCATAAAATGTAAAACCCAGGAGGCGGAGCTTGCAGTGAGCTGAGATCCGACCACTGCACTCCAGCCTGGGTGACAGAGCGAGACTCTTGTCTCAAAAAAAAAAAAAAAAAAAAACAAAGCTATCGCTAACATCAGTGAAAATAGTAAAATATTGAATCCATTCTTTCCATGATTGGGACCAATTCCAAGCATGTTTCTGCGATCACATCTACTCAACATTGAACTCAGAGTCCTAGCCAGTGCAGTATGGTGGGGGAGGAAGGATAATTGAAAAGGAAGGACTGGAACCACTTTAATTTGCAGAGAACAACTACTGGAAGTAACTGGTGAATCTAGCAGGTCACAGGATACAAGCTAAGTAATACACGGCTGTGAGAGCAGAAAAAGGAAACACACACAGGGTTTCCTACACACATTAGTGTAGCTGTCACCAGATATTCAAACACTCATGCAGAAGGGTGTTGCATTTGATCTTCTTTCAATCTAATCAGCCGTCAAACTGAGCTCAGCCTAAGCTGTTTTTATTTTAACAACTTTCCCTCTTCCTCCTCCTGCTCTTTCTCCTTCTTTTCTAATTTAACTTTCTAATTTAAAATATTCTCCAATTACAGAAAAGACTATACTCTAAATCAAAAACTATACTATACACTTTGCTCTGAACCATCTGAGAGCAAACTACCCATAGAATACACATCACCCCCGGCTGGGTGTAGTGGCTCACGCCTGTAATCCCAGCACTTTGAGAGGCCAAGGTGGGTGGATCACAAGGTCAAGGATCGAGGCCATCCTGGCTAACACACTGAAACCCTGATTCTACCAAAAATACAAAAAATTAGCTGGGCGTGGTGGCGGGCACCTGTAGTCCCAGCTACTTGGGAGGCTGAGGTGGGAGAATGGTATGAACCCGGGAGGCAGAGCCTGCAGTGAGCCAAGATTGAGCCACTGCATTCCAGCCTGGGCGACAGAGCGAGACTCCATCTCAAAAAAAAGAAAAAAAGAATACACATCACCCCTACATACTTGACTGGATATTTCCAATAAATAAAGACATTCTCCTGCATAACCACAATACAACCTTCAGTATCAGACAGTAAGCATCAGTACATTACTATCTCAGACTAATCCTCAGACCCCAGTGGTTTTCACTTGTCTTTATGATGTAATTTATTGCACAGAAATCCCGCCCTGAATAACTACACTGCTCTTTCATCTTTTTCTGTGACTCTTTAGTATTCAGTGGGACACTGACAGGCTGTTTTGGGGGACAGTTTGTAAAGTGCCCTTTAAAACCTGAAGTTGTGGCCGGGCGCGGTGGCTCATGCCTGTAATCCCAACATTTTGGGAAGCCGAGGTGGGCAGATCACGAGGTCAGGAGATCGAGGCCAGCCTGGCTAACATGGTGAAACCCCGTCTCTACTAAAAATACAACGAATTAGGCAGGCGCCTGTAGTCTCAGCTACTCGGGAGGCTGAGACAGGAAAATCGCTTGAAACCAGGAGGTGGAGCTTGCAGTGAGCCAAGATGATGCCCCTGCACTCCAGCCTGGGTGACAAGAGCCTGACTTCATATAAAAAACAAAAAACAAAAAAAACCCTTGAAGTTCATTATTTGATATTTAATTCAATATCTTGATTTTTTAAAATTTCATACATCATATAACCCTCGTTAGTAAAAGTGTATGTGTCTGTGCATATGTGAACACTGCCCAACCACAGCAGAATACC